GGGGGGGTTTCCACATGCGGAAACTGCGAGGGGGGGTTTCCACATGCGGAAACTGCGAGGGGGGGTTTTCACATGCGGAAGCTGCGAGGGGAGTTTCCACATGCAGAAACTGCGAGGAGGGTTTCCACATGCGGGAACTGCGAGGGGGGTTTCCACATGCGGGAACTGCGAGGGGGGTTTCCACATGCGGGAACTGCGAGGGGGGTTTCCACATGCGGGAACTATGAGGGGGGTTTCCACATGCGGGAACTGCGAGGGGGGGGTTTCCACATGCGGAAACTGCAAGGGGGGGGGTTTCACATGCGGAAACTGCAAGGGGGGGGGGTTTCACATGCGGAAACTGCGAGGGGGGGTTTCACATGCGGAAACTGCGAGGGGGGGGGGGGGTTCACATGTGGAAACTAAGGATTGCAGTTTCACATGGAAACCGAAAGGGGGTGGTTTCACGTGAAAACTGCGAGGGGGGTTTCACATATGGAAAATGCGAGGGGGGGTTTCACGTGTGGAAACTGCGAGGGAATAGTTTTCACGTGTGGAAACTACGAGGGAGGGGTTTCACGTGTGGAAACTGAGGGGGGGTTTCACCTGTGGGAAACTGATGGGGGGGGGGGTTTTTTTACTTGTAAAACTGTGAGGGGTGGTGGTTTCACTTTTGGAAACTGAGGGGGGAAAGGTTTCATGTGTGGAAACTCCAAGGAGGGGGGGGGGTTCCACGTGTGGAACCCCACCTCCTTGGAGGGGAGTTTTTCACGTGGGGAAACCCCCCCCCCCCACGTGAAAACACACGTGGCGGCTTCCCGCGTGGAAACCTGCAGGGGGACGTGGCGGCTTTCCGCGTGGAAACCTGCAGGGGGACGTGGCGGCTTCCCGCGTGGAAACCTGCAGGGGGACGTGGCGGCTTCCCGCGTGGAAACCTGCAGGGGGACGTGGCGGCTTCCCGCGTGGAAACCTGCAGGGGGACGTGGCGGCTTCCCGCGTGGAAACCTGCAGGGGGACGTGGCGGCTTCCCGCGTGGAAACCTGCAGGGGGACGTGGCGGCTTCCCGCGTGGAAACCTGCAGGGGGACGTGGCGGCTTCCCGCGTGGAAACCTGCAGGGGGACGTGGCGGCTTCCCGCGTGGAAACCTGCAGGGGGACGTGGCGGCTTCCCGCGTGGAAACCTGCAGGGGGACGTGGCGGCTTCCCGCGTGGAAACCTGCAGGGGGACGTGGCGGCTTCCCGCGTGGAAACCTGCAGGGGGACGTGGCGGCTTCCCGCGTGGAAACCTGCAGGGGGACGTGGCGGCTTCCCGCGTGGAAACCTGCAGGGGGACGTGGCGGCTTCCCGCGTGGAAACCTGCAGGGGGACGTGGCGGCTTCCCGCGTGGAAACCTGCAGGGGGACGTGGCGGCTTCCGCGTGGAAACCTGCAGGGGGACGTGGCGGCTTCCCGCGTGGAAACCTGCAGCAGGGCCGTGGCGGTTTCCCGTGTGGAAACTGGAAGGCGGTGGTGGTTTCACGTGCGGAAACTGGAAGGCGGTGGTGGTTTCACGTGTGGAAACTGGAAGGCGGTGGTGCTTTCCCGTGTGGAAACTGGAAGGCGGTGGTGGTTTCACGTGTGGAAACTGGAAGGCGGTGGTGGTTTCACGTGTGGAAACTACTAAGGGGTTTCATAGAAAGGTGAATGTGCTCGTGTGAAATTGGAGGGTTGATGTGTGGATAGGAGAGGGGGAAGGTGTTGAGAATGGGGTGGGGGTTGAGGGTTAATACGGACAAGGGGGTGTGGGTTAGGGGGGTTACTTTGGGGAATGAGACAGATGTGGGTCGATTGAATGTTTGGGGAGGGCCTGGGCAGTTAGTTACCCAAGTGTTGCCTCAGGCTGGGTTCGGGGAGTAGAACAACTCCCGGAACCCTCTCCATGTACACTATGTAATCAAAGTCTGTTGGCTCTGCTTGTGGTGTCATTTCTTCCCTATAATCTTTGCAACTTGTCCTCAGGTCAGGCTCGTTAGAGCTATGGCCATCTCCCCAAAATGCATACAACAATTTTAGCATCCTGTCTAATATTAGTTCTCAGATATAAATTATTATTATAATGTACATTAAAATTCTATGTAGAGTTAGGCTTAGATTAAATATTTAGGTTCTGTTGGTGCTTATTTGTGTTTGCAGTACATGAGTGAAGCATTCACAGAGGTCCAATTCTGGAAAAAGTTGTGAATAAAGCACTGTTCGAGAACGGTATATACAGTGCATCAATAGTTGGGAGTCGTAAGCTGTTTTTTCATTCATAAACCGGGTTTGGTCCCTGGACTATTGAGCATTTGCCATTTATTGATGAGGACGGGCTGACGGGGGAAGAGAAATGATGGGAAAAGGGAAGTTGCCGCTTCTTCATCCGTTCAACTAAGTCCGCTCTCAGGCATTTCAAACGCCAAGAAGCTGTCATACTAAAGTGCCTTATCCTAACCTATCAGACGGCTCACAGACAGAAAATGGGACATGTCAATTTCACAAACCACTACCACTTTCTAGTACAGAACGACAGTTTTTAGCCTTAAGTATGTCAAAATGAGACGTGCTAATAGGAGGACGGGTTCTCCAACCACCCTGCCGCCACCTCGTCCGTCCAACCACCCTGCCACCACCTCATCCGTCCAACCACCCTCCCACCACCTCATCCGTCCAACCACCCTCCCACCACCTCATCCACCTTTTCGCAAAGGTCAAAAGGTTTGTGTTAAAACATTCAAGGTGATACATATCACAATCCTGACATATACTGTACATACATTAATATTAAACCACTCACTACAACCATTAACTCAAACAAGCACCAATTTGTACACAAACTTTTCTCAGCCTGTAACTCCATGCATGCTCATCACTATTCAAAGTACTTTTCTATTTGCCTTATCAAATGCTTTTATAAAGTTCCTAAAAGGTCAAGTACACCTCACTGTCTTTCTCTAATGCTTCGACATTTCAAACAGTGTACCGATACCAAAATTTGTATTCTTACCACCTTTTTATCCAATATCAAGACTGCAATACTATATAAGAGATGCTATACTATACAGTACTTTGATACTACACAAAGACGACATTTTAATTTCAACTATTTTGAAGGATATTAAAACTTAAACACAACACTTCGTGATCTCGAGGTTAGAAAACCCCAAGATTTAAATACAGGTACAATAATTTAGTAACTCAATTATAGCAATCATAATCAAAGCATAAATATTTCTGCAGATTTAACAAACTAATTATATTACAGCAGTGATTACTGATTAATTACATTCTAGCAGTGATTACCGATTATTGATACAGTCTCAAAACTCAACCCCCACAAGCACAGCTCTTAACCAGAATATAGATGGTATCTAAATACTAGTGCCATTCCTGACAGCTAAAACAGATCACTCCACTCCACAAGGAGGGCAGAAAAAGTAGACGCTAAAAATTATAGATCAATATCACAAACATTACGCATCATGATTTTTTTACGAGGGCTTAACATTTGTGGTACACCACTATTAATAATAGCTGACAACACCGCTGTGTGCAGGAAAAATTAAATTTTCCTTCTTATACTGTACAGAATAGTATTGTTAAATTCAACCCATCCTCCGAATTGACAGTACATTTTAATATTAAATGTAATAAGTACATTGCCTGACTGTCATACATAGTACATAATTGCACTTATGGGGCTGTTACATTTACCTCCCCATTTATTCTCCTCGTTTTCTGTTAAGACAATTTTAGGATGAAGTTTTAAAGTTCAGTTTGTTATACACAAGTTTTAAATATCAGGAATTTCTTTTTCAGTTTTATTAAATAGAGATTTTATACAAAATTTGAAGATATCATGCTTTACTGTGCAATTTATTGAAATATTTAGTTTTGTTTTATAAAACTGTAATATTAATATAGCTATAGGTTAAGTAGTAATTGTAATTAAGAAGCAATAAAATGTTTATCTTCAAAAACTAAGACGGTTAGGTTAGGTCGTGGTTTTCTATTCAGCTTTTCAGGTAAACTCAAATTTTCACAATATATTTGCCAGTACGATTTACTACCAAGTGAAAATAAGTACAATTCCTGACTGACATACATAATATATAATTGCACTTATGGGGCAGTTACATTTACCTCCCCATTTTTGTAGGACAGGCTGGTTAAATTGCATTCCCTAATTCCTGGGGGGAAAAAAATCGTACGAGACATATTTTGGCCGTGACAGGGCGAGGAAGTCTGGTACGATTCTCGCCCTGAAGCAGTCTGATACAGCAAACCCATGTGGCAGGAGTTGCCTCAAAGATAGTATTACCTAATTATTTCAATGCCTCTTGATTGGGTTTTCTGTTTTTTTTTGCCGTAATATTTAATAGCGTGTAATTTGTGGAATTCATTTAGTCCTCCCCCCCCCCCCCAATTCATATATCCAGAATATCCCCCCCCCTACCTACCTTGAGGCTACCTTGAGGTGCTTCCGGGGCTTAGTGTCCCCGCGGCCCGGTCGTCGACCAGGCCTCCTGGTTGCTGGACTGATCAACCAGGCTGTTAGACGCGGCTGCTCGCAGCCTGACGTATGAGTCACAGCCTGGTTGATCAGGTATTCTTTGGAGGTGCTTATCCAGTTCTCTCTTGAACACTGTGAGGGGTTTGCCAGTTATGCCCCTTATGTGTAGTGGAAGCGTGTTGAACAGCCTCGGGCCTCTGATGTTGATAGAGTTCTCTCTCAGAGTACCTGTTGCACCTCTGCTTTTCAACGGGGGTATTCTGCACATCCTGCCATGTCTTCTGGTCTCATGTGGTGTTATTTCTGTGTGCAGGTTTGGGACCAGCCCCTCAATTATTTTCCACGTGTAAATTATTATGTATCTCTCCCGCCTGCGCTCAAGGGAGTACAGATTTAGGCTCTTTAGTCGGTCCCAGTAAGTCGGTCCCCTCTTTATATCCAGAATACAGGTGACATGAATGCATTTTAAAGATAAAATAAAATCTGTGTACTTACCCCTGGCTGAATGGAGGGACCAGGAAAGGAACTGCTTCCGTAGGTTTCAGGGTCATGCTCGGATTTTGATAATTCTGCACCAAAATCCCCATCCCCCTCATTTACAGAGCCACCATCATAGCTATTGTCCCGTCTATATCCATCATCTGGGTCATCGGCATCCTCCATTTCAACTTTTACCATGGGAGGGGGGTCAACACCCGAGTCTTGGACACTATCTTGGGTCTGAGAAACTGGCAGAGAGGCAGTCTGATGTTGAAGAGGTGGTGTTCGAGATGGAGGTGCCGTTTTTAAAGAGGCAGAAACGGTTGGGGAAACTGGCCTTTGTTGTGGGGGTGGTACAGAATTGTCTTCGTGTCTTCTTCTCTTTGGTGGTGGACTTTCTCTCCTATCATCACTCTGTGGTTTCCGCGATTTTGTAGGATCCTCGTCAGGGACTGCCAAGCCTTTAATTCTGAGGCACTCGGCTGTCTTCAATAACGAAGCTAAGTCATTCTGATTCACATTCACTTCACCTAAGTACATGTAATCCAAAAGTGCGTCCATGTCTTGACTTCGCACATCTTTGAGCACTATCACTGGTGATTTGCATGGTGTTCTTTCAAATATTTCACTAAAATATTCACTGCATGTGCTCATAACCAGTTTGTGCACTGGATAGAATTTGCCTTCCACTGCAATAGTGGCATCCGTATAGTTAGCCTGAAACAAAATAAAAGCCAAAGTTCAACATACAGCATTTATAAGTTCACATATACACAGATATATAGATAGATATTACCAATTCTCTTCCAATTTGCTACCCACAACAAAAATAAGCATCCATGTTTACAAAGCAAATGGCAGAATTCCTCTTATACCAGATAAAGGTAGCTGCAACATTAGTGCATCTTGTACAAATAAACAAAGATTATTATACTATACTGTATACAACACAATATGCAAAGCACATTATCTATTTTTTGTATTGTGATCAATGTTTAGGCACAACATATGCTGCACATACTAACATATATTGCAATGAACCTTAAGACAAATCAACAATCTCAGATCTACTGGGTTTGCAAAACAATGCAGCCATTACAGCTGGAAAAACATTGTTTATGACTGTCATCACCCAATAATACATGGGATAGGCCAAGATATTAAAAATTAGATTAGTCATCAGGTAGTGTTACTTTTCAGAAGCACACAGTACCTGGTGGCTGCCAGAGTTGTATGGTACATATCACAGATCATTATTCTAGGCAAGATACCCCAAGTGATTTGAGTAGGACCACTGGCATGGTACTCCTCATTTTGTAGGTCATAATCCACCCTAACATTTTCTGGCTGATGCTTTTGTACTCATCTAGTTGTGATTGCGGGGGTTGAGCTTTGGCTCTTTGGACCTGCTTCTCAACTGTCAATCAACTGGTGTACAGATTCCTGAACCTACTGGGCTCTTAATTATATATCTACATTTGAAACTGTATGGAGTCAGCCTCCACCACATCACTGCCAAATGCATTCCATCTGTTAACTACTCTGACACTGAAAAGCTTCTTTCTAACATCTCTGTAGCTCATTTGGGTACTCAGTTTCCACCTGTGTCCCCTTGTTCGTGTACCACCCGTGTTAAACAGTTTTTCTATCTACCCTGTCAATTCCTCTGAGAATTTTGTAGGTAATGATCATGTCTCCCCTTACTCTTTGTCTTCCAGTGTCGTGAGGTGCATTTCACGCAGTGTTTCTATAAGATCTCATTGCAGCTTGTTTCCTTTACCCAATTAATATTATTTTCCATGCCCAAGTGTATCACTGTACAGTACTGTAGTTGAAATTTGTCACTGTTGAACATTTTGTTTTCTGGAAGACTTGGTGAAAAGCTCAAAGGTTGATTTTGCCATTATTCAAATATGAAGCTTTAGTTATGTTTTTGTCTGAATATTTTAAACTTAAGATTATTCTTAACTCACCTTTTCTCTAAGTACCCTGAGGATTTCAAAGAATGTGATTTTGTGGTTGTTCCACTTGAGGCTTAAGAGTCCATCATCCATTTTGGCATCTAAAAATAACAATAACAAAAATGATTATTCATGCACGCCATATAACCACCACAATGTTTTAACCACAACATTCTTAAAATTTAATTTGAAACCGAGTATTCAACAATTTAAGGATCTTCACATTTCTAAATACTGTACTGTTACCTAATCAACAGTTTCAGCTGGATATTTATAATTATCATATTAATATTACAGTACATAGTAATATTATGTTCTTGGAATTACAGTACAGCAATTCCCTTTTGAAAGTTACAAATTTGTTTTGTATTTCAGATAGTATATAGTGACCCACATTTTATTCAGGATGGATTGTAGCAATCAGCTGTTTAATTGAATCCTGATCTTTACATTAGTTTAAGCCTAGCCCCTAAAGCTAGTAATAAAATAAATTAAAAATAAAAATTACATGTCTCTGTGTTTAATTTTATTTTTTTCAAGGTGTCAGGTCAGCATGCTGAAAGAAAAAAAAAACGAAATGGTTGGCTGTGAACTACAGAATGATAGCACCGGAGTGAGTGTAGGTAATGACAAGTAGAGCATAGAGATTTATATAAAAAAAACTTGCCATCAATATAGCCTACATGTGTAAATACCAAAATTTTAATTAAAACTGATTATCATCAATAAAATGTAAATAAAAGTTTAACTTTGACCAGGCAATTGGTATTAATTATTTTGTATTACAATGGCAGCGGTGCCAAAGACACAATCAGAGAACACTCAAAACATCAGAGGTCCACGGTTTTTCAATATTCTCCCAGCGAGTATAAGAAATAGTGCTGGAACAACCGTGGACACCTTCTTGAAGAAAACTACCTAGTTTTCTCTTGAAGTGCCAGACCAACCTGGCTGTGGAGGATATATGGGCCTGCAAGCTGCTCCAAGCAACAGCCTGTTGGACCAAGCTCTCACAGGTCAAGCCTGGCCTCAGGTCTGGACTGGGGAGAACAACTCCCAGAACCCCATCAAGCAGGTATTAACACTTTCGCGCTATCTGGACGCGCCGGCGCGTCCCGTTTCGTCTAACGCTAACGCATAGTGGACATAAAGTTGAGTCCTCTTTTAAAATATTTGTATAAAATTCAATTTTTATCCGATTTACTTTGGGTTTGTTTCAAACTGCGCGCTATGAGGCTCTCTTTCTCACCACTAGGCTGCATGGTACAATAATTTCATGAAAGGTGTGGATAACTTCGATCAAATGGTATTTTGTCCCAAACGGGTTGCAGGTGGGTGACTTTAGCCGTTTATACTGGTAATGCTTCCCCCATATCATGTATTATATGCATATGTCTGTTTAGGGATTTTTATTCCGATCAATATACAACCAAAAATAACTGTGTGCAACAAGTATAAACTTGACAAACATAACAAAAGTAAAAACATTTCGTGTGTGTTTGACGCTCACTGATATGTTCCAGCGTTGTTTTATATTTGGCGCTATTCTAACTTACGCTTTGTTGATATTTTTTACCTATGGGCACATAGAACATTCTATTGCGAACACATTGACACAAAAATGAATGACGTACATAGAAAATTAATGTCATGAGAGTGAAATAAGTATAAACTTTCAAAGCGCCGTGCGTCGTCCCGTCACCGATACCGGGTAACAATTTCACCACTTCCCACACTCTTGCGGGCGGGCCGCATCATTATTCTACGCTTATATTCATATCACCGTGTTGGGAATTTCATTGCGAGTCCATTGATACCAAAATTAACGCTGTAGAATAAGTGTGGAGGTGATTACAATCCCAAGAGTAAAAACATTTTGTTGCTGATGGGCGCTCACGGCGAGTCATCTTCGTAGTTATTTATTTGGTGCTGGTATCCCTATACGTTTCGTGACTTTTTTTACTGATGTTCTTCTAGAGAATTTTATTGCGAACACGTTGGTACCAAAATGAAATACGTAGCATGAGAACTAAGGTCAGAAGAGTAAAAAGAGTATACACATTTTTGTTTTTACGCTTAAGCGATAAAAACGCCGCACGCACATTCGGTTGGCTGAGTGACCTTCGCGGAAAGCGCGAAAGTGTTAAGAAGCCAACAAAAACAAACGGGTTTTTTCTCTACAGCAATACTTAAAAATCATTTACTCATATGACCAGATTCAAGACCTCTTTCATGCATTCTTGGCTCTCTTGGTCCACTACAAGAACCCTTTAAAAGTTGCACCTCAGCACATGTTTACTTCAGTACCCAAATTACCACTTGTCAGCTCCATCCAACATTCATATGACACCTGCTGGAGACCCTTCGAACCAGCATGTTGACTAGGGAGTGATAGGGATTACCCAATGGCAGAGGTCATTGCCAAGCATTATCTGAGGGACGTAAGATATTCTCCACACAGGGCACAAAATGTACTTTTCTGTCCATTTGAAAGGAGTAAGTTTGAAAGAAAGTACTTTTCCATTTGAAAAGTATTCACTAGAAAGGAGTCGAGATATCAAATAATATAAACATGGAAAATACTCGAGGGCCAGGTCCCAAATCTACACAGTAAGATAAAATACTGGACTGAACGATATGGAAGAAAATGCAGAATAGAACCAGTGAAGAGCAGGGGTGCCATAGGCACAATCAGAGAACACCAGAGGTCCACGGTTGTTCAACATCCTCCCAGCGAGTATAAGAAATATTGCCGCAACAACCGTGGATATCTTCAAAAGAAAACTACAGGTAGTTAATTTTCTCCGAGGAGTGCCGGACCAACCGGGCTGTGGTAGTTATGTGGGCCTGCAAGCTGCTCCAAGCAACAGCCTGTTGGATTAAGCTTGTAAGTCTAGCCTGGCCTCGGGCCGGGCTTGGGAAGTGGAAGAACTCCCAGACCCCCATCAAGCAGGTATCTGTCCCTGGGTATCTGACCACCACTCAGCAATCCCTCACAGAAGTAGCCATTACTAAAGCATCTGGTCAATGAATGATAAATGGCATTACAAACCCCCAGTTCTTGTCAATGATCTCAAATGAGTCACCCTTCAGCAAATATATGGTATGGAGAACTGTGAAGATGCCTGGGGTAGAGGATAGCCTTACAGCTCCAAATACTGGAGTTTATACTTGCCTGGGGTTCTGGTTTGCAAGAGAACTATTTTTCACTATAACCCATCATAGGGTTAAGCAATTTAGTCAGCTCTGTAATTGGGGAACTTGGGTTCAATCCCAGGGCAGGACAAAAATGATTGGGTATATTTCCTTTCCCCTGATGCCTCTGGTCAAGCATAATGAAAATAGGTGCAGGAGTTAGGCAATTGCTCTGGGTTGCATCCTGGGAAAGGTCAGTAGTTGGCTTAGGGAGAACCTCAATAATCCCAAGGCTTTCCGTACAATGGAAATTATTATTATATATATCCAAACCAGTATTAGATATGGTTCTTGTTGCATGGGGCCTAAATCTAAATATTGTACTGCAGCAGCCACGTTTCTAATGCATTCCAATTCATTAGGCTATGTATTAATACACTAGGTTTCTATTAACACACTGAAGAATCTATTTCACTTTTGCTAGCTTGAAACATTCACAATGCCTTTCTAAATGCAGGTATTTTATTTCCAAATTGTTTCTGCAAAATTTGCTTAATTAAGATTTTTGTAATATCTAAATTAAAATTAAGAATTTTTTAAACTTTTTTCAAAAGAAATATGAGAAATAGGTACTCGAGTCATCCTATAAAATGACAACGATTGCAGACTTAAAAGCCACACGCAAATACAGTAGCCTGGTGTACTAACCACACCTGAAGCAAGCTATTCAGGATAAACCACACCTGAAGCCAGCTACCCAGGATTAACCACACCTGAAGCCAGCTACCCAGGATTAACCACACCTGAAGCCAGCTACCCAGGATTAACCACACCTGAAGCCAGCTATCCAGGATTAACCACACCTGAAGCCAGCTATCCAGGATTAACCACACCTGAAGCCAGCTATCCAGGATTAACCACACCTGAAGCAAGCTATCCAGCCACACCTGATCCAGGATTAACCACACCTGAAGCAAGCTATCCAGGATTAACCACACCTGAAGCAAGCTATCCAGGATTAACCACACCTGAAGCAAGCTATCCAGGATTAACCACACCTGAAGCAAGCTATCCAGGATTAACCACACCTGAAGCAAGCTATCCAGGATTAATCACACCTGAATCCAGCTCTCCAGGATTAACCACATCTGAATCCAGCTCTCCAGGATTAACCACACCTAAATCCAGCTCTCCAGGATTAACCACACCTGAAGCAAGCTCTCCAGGATTAACCACACCTGAAGCCAGCTTTCCAGGATTAACCATACCTGAAGCAAGCTATCCAGGATTAATCACACCTGAAGCAAGCTATCCAGGATTAATCACATTAATCCAGCTCTCCAGGATTAACCACACCTGAAGCCAGCTTTCCAGGATTAACCATACCTGAAGAAATCAATGGGAACGTCGACGCACAAAGAGTTAATCCCGACACACACACACTCTTGAAGCACTGCCTCCTCCTCCTCTCTCTCTCACACACCATCAAGCACTGAGGAATGTGCCACCAGCTCCAGCTTTCCAGGGGGTCAATGACCTATATGAGTGTCAGTCATTCACTCAAGTCAATGGCATCACAGACACTCACGCCTCGCCCCCGACCCGCCCCACACCTCGCCAAGGTTATAGCCATACCACACCCGCTGCAGGAGAAAGAACACGTTTGTGGGAGAATGGTATAAGAGATTATGGGTGAGAGGGGTGATGGAGGAGAGAGGCGAGGCGGGGTGTGTGTGGGGGGGGAAAGTGGGCCATGCGAGCGGCAGGTAGTGGGCCAAGCTGCAGCCATTTCCGCGTACAACACAGCCTCCTCCTAAACTTTCAATCATTTTCGGCATCTTGCTGGCCACAGAGGACCTCTTTTACACCCTTCAAGGCCATCTCGGGTCAAGCCCGCCGCTTGCGACGCACCAGCCGACGCACAACGCCTCACAGCCCTCAGGCAAAGTAGCGAAACACGGGGGTGAAAAATTTTTGTGGAGACGTGTAAGGAGAAGTGATGGAGACGGGGACGCCATGATGCAGGTCGCGGCCCGCTTCCCCCACACCCCGCGGCTCTCGCCCTCCTCGGCCTGCCTCGCCGCTCCTACCACCACCTCCCTGACATAACCCCGGCCACGCACCCGCCACACACACTCACACACACAAATAAGTAGGCACACAGGCCACGAAATCCTGCAGGAATTGACTTACTTGCGTCAGTCCGCGCCCATCACAACGCCTCCCTGCACATCACTACGTAGTTTACTGACGCCGGCCGAGAGGGCGTCGTGGTCGCGCAGGTGTGGGCGCATGACGTCACGGCCCGCCACGCTTCAAATCCACCTTCAACACACAAAGACAACCACATTTATATATATATGTGACTTATATATATATTTGTTATATAACAAAGAGTGCTGGGAAGACGGGACACCACCAGCGTAGTTCTCATCCTGTAACTACACTTAGGTAATTACACTTAGGTAATTCCACTAAGAAACACACCATACCGCTTTCAGATAACACTTATCTATCTCCTTCATCAACCAAGAGTCCTTCATCAATTCAACAGTCCAACCAACCAACCTACACCTCCAATATCCAAGAGTAACGTCAATTCAACGTTGATTCATCTTTGAACTAACGTTACTCTTGGAAGTTGTGCCCATTACAACAACAAAATTTTGCAACAATAATGTTGTAAAAACAATTTGCAACAATATTTTTACTCTATTTCTACATTATTATTATTATTATTACACAGAGAAATCACAATAACGTGATATATCAATGAACAAATTCACAAGGGCAGTAATAATAATAATCCCTCGAATCCTCATTATTATTATTATTATTATTATTATTATTATTATTGTTATTATTATAGTGGTTGTCCTATTATGTCGTATTAGAATGTTTATCTATAAACATCAAACTTTCGCAGTCACTTAATCAATGATTCGCAGATATAGGTTCTTATTTACACTTTTTAGATTTTCTATAAATTTCCAAGTATTTTCCTTTATTCCTAAGGAGGCAGTGTGAAGGCTGCGTAATTTGTTAAATTAACCTTATGAATTATCCTTTAACCTGGACTAGGTATAGACTAGGTTTACGTAATTATTGAGGAAAGTTTTGCTTATAACCTTTTACCCTTCATGCCAAGAATATTTTGCCAATGATTAATGGAGACGATTATACCAGAGTTGCAATGGTATTATTGATATGTGTGTGTGTGTGTGTGTGTGTGTGTGTGTGTGTGTGTGTGTGTGTGTGTGTGTGTGTGTGTGTGTGTGTGTGTGTGTGTGTGTGTGTGTGTGTGTGTGTGAGTAATTACCTAAGTGTAGTTACAGGATGAGAGCTACGCTCGTGGTGTCCCGTCTTCCCAGCGCTCTTTGCCATATAACGCTTTGAAACTACTGACGGTCTTGGCCTCCACCACCTTCTCACTTAATGTGTGTGTGTGTGTGTGTGTGTGTACTCACCTAGTTGTGCTTGCAGGGGTTGAGCTTCGGCTCTTTGTTACCGCCTCTCAACCGTCAATCTACTGGTTTATAGCTTCTGGAGCTTTATCTTATCTACATTTGAAACTGTGTATGGAGTCAACCTACACCACATCACTAGGACTCCATTTACTAACTACTCTGACACTGAGAAATCATTTCTAATGTCTCTGTGCCTCATATGGGTACTCGCTTCCAGCTGTGTCCCCTTGTGAGTGTACCTCCTGTGTACTCACGTAGTTTACTCACCTAGTTGTGCTTGCGGGGCTTGAGCTCTGGCTCTTTGGGCCCGCCTCTCAACTGTCAACCAATCAACTGATATTTTTTTCCACACACACGCTCCCAGGAAGCAGCCCGTAGCAGCTGTCTAACTCCCAGGTACGCATTTACTGCTAGGTGAACAGAAGCATCAGGGTGAAAGAAACTCTGCCCATTTGTTTCCGCCTCCGCCGGGAATCGAACCCGGACCCTTAGGACTACGAATGCCGAGCGCTGTCCACTCAGCCGTCAGGCCCCCAAATATTGATGTCATAGGATGGGATCGAACCCGCTCCCTGGACTTCCCAGCCTTACTCTTGCTTACCGACTCATCCATGATGAGCATTAGCGTATGTGTGTATGCATTGGTGTATACATGTGCGTGAAACTATGTGTGTATAGATCTGTATGCACCTACATATACGCAAAGGTGTGTAAATCTGTGTGCATAGGTGTAAGCAATGGTGTAAAGATTCGTATGTGCATACGTATGTGCGTATGCAGAATAGGTCTGTGTGCACTTATATGTATACATGGGTAGACACATTTGTGTGCACCTGGGGATGACAATTCAATATGTGTCCTCCTTCAAACGGTCAATGTCACCAAAGTTATTATTACGACCGTTTTCTATCACTTAACTCTAAACTGGTTCTGAACTTTCTCATAAAAGCATTTGGCGGAGGTCTAAAGTGCAGGGATCACTCTCCTCTCCTCTCCTCTCCTCTCCTCTCCTCTCTCTCTCTCTCTCTCTCTCTCTCTCTCTCTCTCTCTCTCTCTCTCTCTCTCTCTCTCTCTCTCTCTCTCTCGCTCTAGCCTATCATCCGCCTAGCCTCACCCGCTCTCTCTTCCCGACCACAGTCACCCCCTGTCACCCCCCCCCACTCTCCCCTCCCTTCCCCTTTCCTCCTTGTCTCTCTCCAACTCTCTCTTCCTCCCCCCTCGCTATCTCTCCTCCCTCCCTCCCCTCTTCCCCCCTACATACCTAGCTTTCGCTCCCCCTCGCACTACAGCCCTTGTCTCGGGTGACTTTGATAGCGCATATATATTAATACTGTTATATCGACCTATTCCGTGCGTGTGTGTGCGAGTGGCGTAGAGGGTGTTTGTGAGGGGGTGTGCGTGTGCGAGCATGTACTCACCTAATTGGGTTAGTGGGGGGCGAACTTCCGGACCAGTAATCCCCCCAACCCCACCCCCACCTCCTCTACTCCGCCATCAATCGACTGCATGAGGGGATTTTTTTTTTTTTGCAGGGATATTCCTTCGTGGGCCGTAAGCCTCTAGCTGAGGACCTCTATCTATGTATCAACCTTCCCCGAGGTGAAGGTTGTCATATAGGTAGCCTATATTTCAATCCGTTGTTGTTGTTATAGATTCAGCTACTCGGAACAAGTTCCAAGTAGCACGGGCTATGGTGAGCCCGTAACTTTCAATCCGTACGCCATGAAGTATATATGTAAGTAGGCCTTCCATTCATGTATGTATATGTATATAGGATTATGTAATCTGGTCAGAATTGCATTTCACCTTTGTAAACGCACGTTAATAACACTGTAAAAAGACACCTCGAACACTGTTTAAGTAGGACAGACGCGTAAATCTGTGTATTTATGATTGTAGGTTAGATTAGCTTTTTAAACGTACTACAATCACCTTCCGTGGTTGATTGTTCAATAAATCACTGAACTATATATACACACAGAAATCACAAAATCGTAATATATCAAATGCACAAATTCCCAAGGGGCCGTGATGAGGGCTCGAACCTACCTACGGGATGTTCTCAGCATCCCATGTGTAGGTTTGAACCCTCATCACGGCCCTTGTGGATTGTTCACTGAACTATGTTTAACAGATCTCTAACGCTGTCCATCGAGGACAGAATAAAATGTATATATGGTGGTTAGCATTATCAATATGTGGCCACGTCTGTGGTAGAAAAACTCATCCACAGCCCTCTGGAGAATTTTGTTCTTATATAGCGGGTCCCTGTAGTACAGTTGGGTTCGTTCTCGACTCAAGTCAGGAGTCCCGGGTTCGAATCCTTGGCACAGAGTTAATCAAAGGCCACGGGTTGGAATATCCTGGTCTGGTCATTTAGTGATCTATGGCTTGCGCGTTCCTGCAGCCTTTCTCACATGTATATTAATTACATCAATATACATAAGCGAGAAGGTTCGGTTTGTGTAAACCCGTAGCGTTTCGTAACTACAGATTTTTTAATTAAAGTGGTTCAGTCATGCAAAGCCGCTGATCAACACGCATAACGTTTCGGGCAGGAACGAGCTCCAGCTCCCCGCTCTCGCCTCTTTTTGTAATTATTGCACTAGTGTAACGCATTATTAACATTTCTTAGTCAGTTAAGATAGTTTATTATGCACCCCGTATACCTATCTCTTGACTGGTGGTGGCAAGGTTAGAGGTACAGGTCAATGTCAACTCAATGCCTCAATTATTCGTTTGGCTCAGCAAGCTCCGTATTCATCAACTAGTTACATTGTTTATAACATGTATGTCAACTATACTTACGTTGAGGTCAATATCATTTTAATGTCAATGTCAATATTTCAATAGTCAGGTGGCATTACTTTAACTAAGAAGTTTGTAAATTTAAACAATATACACAGAGAGTAGTTACACTAACGTGACTGCATCACTGAAAAAATCCGGAGCAGTGATGAGGATTTGAACCTATGCGGTTGGTGTTCCTACGCACACGCTTCTGACGACTAGACCACGACATGGTAATAAGAATTGTAGCCTGGAGTTCTTTTGAACACACCAGTATTTGTGTGTGTTCATAATACACAATCCCCCCCCCACCATATACACTCCGGCTGTGTCATCTAGGACT